AGTGTGCATCAACTGTGGAACTTTTTCAGCTGAGAGATGCCTCGTGCTTCAACACGAGTGAAACCCAATGAGACGGTGGAATAAGATAGCATCATGTGCTACCTTTTCATGACCAACACTAAATGCGGTGATTCACACTTTTTAACATTTAATGATACAACTGTGGAATGATCTTGTGAAAAGAGAAGCACGAGTTTCTAAGTAACTCCCATGGTAAAGCTTTGAAGTTGTGCTTAACTCACCACCAGCCTCGACCTGAAACATTCTCTATCGAAAAATTTTGTAATTTAAGTTGTTCGAACATCATTTAAAGCTGTCTGCGTATCACTTTAATTTGTCTGAGCATCATTTCAAGCTGTCTGGTTGATCGCATCGCAGCTGTCAGGCTTACGTACTTTCCAAGCCTCACAGCTATATTCAGATGAACACCATCTTGCATATACTTCTCAACCTTCCGTTGAAGCTTGGGGACGGCGCTTGTGAGACTTACCTTCGTCACATACACACACACACACACACACAACAATCTCCACGACATATCTTGATTGTGTACCCTGCTAGTACGTCTACGCGTCTAATGTGTGTTTGTCCCTCTCCCCCTGAAAAGTCATATCGGGACATGTTACGCTGATATCAATGAATCATGTGCGATCGACGAGTGAGCCGTTGCCTACGCCCGTCACATGCTGCTGCAATAGAATTCATGAACTACACCTAAAGCAGCTGCTACATGACACCCATCGATCATGCTCTATTGATATACGCATCAGCGTTGGTCAGATTCACTCCCAGTTTGTGCTGCGCTTGAAGATTATATTTGATCTGTGTTATCGTCACAGAAGCACCAACAAAAATTCTACCCTAACATTACTGAACAATCAAAATTACCATTTGTACCATACACCCAAAACGGAAAGAGATATCTCTAGCAAACCAACTGCAGTTTGTGTGTCAAATGTAGTATTTGATTTTCTCTAAATGGGGATCAATGATGAATGTTGAGTTTGAAAATGGGTTCTCAACGGTGTGTACTTTTGTTTGCGCTTCCTTCTTGTTCATCATCGTACAGCGGGATACAGTGGAGCTAGTTGTGGTTAGCTCAAACATTCCTTCACTACGCACAAATACTTTAAGAGCACCCCTTCCAGACCTAGAAACATTATGCTTTTATTTAGTAAGAACAAACACGAAGCAATTTAAAATGACCAATGAGACACGATTGAGATTTAACAAATGAACACAATTATTCATATGAATATTTTTATATGTTGATTATTGAATACAGTTAAACACGTTTCGAATCCAATCACTTCTCTTTATTCGTGGGATGAACTTTATGATGCCTCCAGCAGTTAATCACGTTGAACACGTGACCAAAACGCATCCATAAAAGTTCACTTACAAGTGTCAAAAGTCCAACTGC